AGCAAACAGGCTCAGAGAGGGGAGGTCACCTGCCCAGTGTCACACAGCCTGAGCCCCGTCTGGTGGGTCCTGGCCCCACTCTCCTGACCCTGGGACCTAAAAGATCCACACATCATAGAGTTACAGACATGTGGCCCTGTGGAAAGCAGAGGGGTGACCACGGAGGGCTTCCGGAAGAGGAAACTAGAGAGATCAACCTGAAAAGTGGGAAGGTCTTGGCCACGGTTTCCTCCACTCAACACGAGGGACCTGAGCCAGGCCAGGTGTCCCAAGGGCTGAGGTGGGCTGAGCGGCTCCGGTGACTGGAGAAGCTTCTGTCACTCCATCGGAGACTTGCCTGTGCTCACCACCCGGGGTCAGGCTCAGGGTGCGAACCCTGCAGCTGGTGAAAGTCCAGGTCCCTCTTAAGTCACGCAAAGTGACAGACGTGCCCCTCAGCAGGGAGGACGACACACGACACAGCCGTACTAGAACCACACACGCATGGGGGTGAGCACCCGAGCCGGCAGCCCGGGTCCCCATGCCGACCTCCCAGATCTGAGGTCCCCTTCACTACGCGGCACGTGCCCTGGGGAAAGCGAGGCGGAGGGCGCCTGGGGCCTCGGTCCCTCCTCTGATTTCCAAACACAAGGTTGAAGATCTAGTACACCCACGAAATTAGGCAAAGGCCTGGAAGCTGCCTCTCGCTGGTCTTCTGATTTTTGTCAAGAAAAACTAGGAGCCGGGCGCAGTGGTGCACCCTGTCCTCCCAGCCACTGGGGAGGCTGAGGCAGGAGGATGGAGAGTTCAACGCCAGCCTCAGCAAAGTGAGGCCCTAAGCCACTCAGGGAGACCCTGTCTCTAAATAAAATGCGAAAAGGGGCTGGGGATGGGGCTCAGAGGTTGAGTGTCCCTGGGTTCAATCCCTGGTACCAAAGACAGACAGACAGACCAGGGACGTAGACCTTAGGTGAGCTCCAGATTTGCCCCGTTCGCTGCTGTGATTTGAACTTGGAAAGCTCCGTGCAGGCCCCACAGGGTGTCCGTGGCCACCTGCTGCGCCTGCTGTCAGGGTGCCTGGCGTCCGGGAGGGCTGGGACACCTCCCGGGTCCATCGCGTCCAACCCTCTCCATCACAGATGAGGAAACTGAGCCCGTCTCCCTGCCCCAGGCCAGGGCCCACTTCCAGTGGACAGTCCGTCTGGGCAGGACACCCCAGGGTCCCCCTGCCCTGACCCCCACGTCCTACCACCTGCTCTCTCCCCAGGAATCCCAGCCATCCCCGGCACCCGAGGACCCAAGGGCCAGAAGGGCGAGCYGGGCCCAGCCGGCTACCCCGGGAAGAACGGCCCCATGGGCCCCCCTGGGGCGCCGGGGGACCGCGGCCCCGGTGGGCCTCCCGGGGAGCCCGGGGAGGAGGGCAGGTACAAGCAGAAGCACCAGTCGGTGTTCACGGTCACCCGGCAGACCTCCCAGTACCCGGCGGCCAACGGCCTGGTCAGGTTCAACACGGTGGTCACCAACCCGCAGGGGGACTATGACACGGGCACGGGCAAGTTCACCTGCAAGGTGCCCGGGCTCTACTACTTCGTCTACCACACGTCGCACACGGCCAACCTGTGCGTGGTGCTCTACCGCAGCGGCGACAAGGTGACCACCTTCTGCGACCACATGTCCAACAGCAAGCAGGTCAGCTCGGGCGGCGTGCTGCTGCACCTGCAGGTGGGCGAGGAGGTGTGGCTGGCCGTCAACGACTACAACGGCCTGGTGGGCACCGAGGGCTCCGACAGCGTCTTCTCGGGCTTCCTGCTCTTCCCCGACTAGCCGCCGCCTGACGGACTCCTCCTCCAGGGAGCCCACCCTGACTCCCCGCCCCCCCTCCTGTCCCCTCCCCCCCGAGCTCCTCTGGGGGCCACTGCTCGTCCCGTTCCTGAACCAGCGCCTCCTGGGACCCTCATTCATTTTTATTTGTTCAGGTCTTGGARGGGGGGGGGATATACGAATAAATAATCAGACCCCTACGTTGCCGTGGCCCCGGTCCCTCTTGGCGACGCCGTGGACTTGACCGGCTCCGCTTTGCATCTGCCGCAGCTGCCCGCGGGCTCTGGCCGGGGGGTGTCCGGGGGGTGCTCGGCACCAGCTGTGACCCCCAGCACCATCTGGCCTGGTGGAGGGGGGTGTTCAAGTGTGGCCACAGGCCACCAGAGGTCCCCCAGGGGCAGCACTCAGTGCGGGAGGAGTTGGGGCTGGCGGTGCGCACACGAGGCGGGCAGCAGCCTGCGTCCATGCAGAGGGATGAGGGAGCCGTGGGCGTCCTGCGAGCTAGACCGCGGGGCGTGGCACACACCAGGCCTGCAGGAGTCAGCACGTGGACGCCTCTGGGCCTCGCAGCCACGCGCTGAGACGGGCGTGAGTGGGTGAGAGAGGACTGAGTCACCCCGAATAATCACAGACTCCAGGGCCCCCCAAGAGGTCACCTAGAGCCACTGCTGCCCGCTGCCACCAGGTTTTGGAGGTGGGTTGCTGGGCTCAGCTGCCCGGGTCAGGGACGCTGCAGAAAGGTCAGAAGTCGGCTTCCCTGGGCAGCCCTCGGGGCCCGGCCTTGGAGCCCAGCGAGCCTTGAGGTGACCGGGCCCAGGGGAACCTGGCTGGGGTCTCGTCCTGGTCCCACGAGGCCCACGGACCKCACAGTGGCATCACTGAGGGGCAGTGAGAGTGAGTTCTGCAGCCCCCTGTGTCCACGTGGGCCCCCGGTTCTGACAGCCCGTTCCACAGTCCACACCTTGGCCCTGCTGCCCTCCGCCTGTAGAGCCCCACCCCTCACACGCGTGGCCCATCCACGYGGACAGGATGCCTCCCCCAGGTCACCTCCTCCAGGAAGGCCTCCCAGGTCCCCACGTCCCCACAGCACCCTCTGCAGACCTGGACCACAAGCTCAGGACCCTTCAGARACCAGGTCCCCTGTCCACCAGCAAATAAGACCCCCCTGGGACCTGCTGCAAACCAAGTGGGGTACGCRGACCCTCGCAGCCTCCTGGGGGTCTGGGGAAGAGGGGGCCGTGGTGAGTGGCGGGTGGCGGGTGAATGCCACCACCTGGTCCAGGGACTGTGCAAGTCTCTGTGCCCGGACCTGGACCTGAGGGGTGGGAGAAGGGACAGAGAAGGACGCGCACACACAGAACCCAGGGGTCCAGGTGCCTGGGCAGGACCAGCCTGGGTCACCGGCCACGTGTTCACAGTGTCCCACCGTCAGCCACCTAGCGGTTCACCCCGTGATGCTGGTGGAGGCACATCGTTCTTGTCACTCCTCTTTTGTTTAAAACAACCAATGACCGTCACATGGCCAGTGTCGGACGGAGCAGAGCCYGGCGCTAGGAGGCCCGGTGCTGGGAGGCGAGCCCGTGTGGCCTCGGGTCCCCGTAACTGCCTCCTGTCCCCTCTTGGACGGAGACATGGGCCGCGGAAGGCTCCGCCACGTCCACCACGTTGGTGGCGGGCAGGGGCCTTGGCACGTTGGGCAAGAGGTGGGAGGACTCGGCAGGAAGCGGGGTGCCCCAGGCTGCACCCCAGCTTCCCGACCAGGGGGCTGAGGGGCTGAGGGGCTGAGCTCCTTATTCTGCTCTTGGCCGGATGTCCCCTTAACGGGGTGTGGCGCAGCCACCTGATGGGCAGAGACCAGCTGCCCTCAGGGGTCACGCCCAGGCCTCCCCCAGGACCCCGTGAACTGCCTCCCTCCTCCACATGAGCTTCCCGGGCCTCCTGGGCTTGTGGGGTGTCCTCCCCGCTCCCACCAACAGCCCCCRGAGCGCGACACCCAGGCCCGCAGCATGCAGAGGAGGACACTGGGCTGGGCCACGTGCCCGAGCCACGCGGTCAGAAGAGGCCCAGCTGGACTCAAACCCTGAGCGCCCGACCCTGGCCCTTGCTGCTAAAGCCCTCTGCTGTGCCACCCAAGTCCAACCCCACCTTTCCCGGGGCCATCGACCACCCAGGCTCAAGTGCCCCTGGGCGCCCCTGGATTCTCCAAGCGCAGATGTCACGGGGCCCCAGCTCCTGCGCTTGCCAGGTCACTGTCCCCGAGAGGGGTGCCTCGTGGCACACTGAGGCTGCTGGAGTCCCGGTGCCTGGCCAAGGCCTTCATCCCTCCTATGTGGGGTGTGGGCTCCAGCTGTCACTGCTTTTTTGGTGACATTTCTCACAGGAACAAAAAGCCTTGTGTCACTTGAGGTTGAACATGGCTCCATGGGGACCGTGGCCGGCTCAGAGAGAGGAGGGAACGGTTCAAGTGACACCTCYCCCGGGGACCCCGTCTCCCTGCAGTGAGATGTGGGGGACAGGTAACCGAGGCCCCTCGAGCCAGCCTGGGTCCCCTTTAGGATCCACAAGGCACCTGCCTGTGGCCGTCATGGTCACCAGCTCCGAGTCGGGCTCGAGGTGGGGGGCGCACAGGGGTCAGGAGCGGTTTATCCGACTGCTCTTGGAGGATGGGAAGGGGCCGGGGCCGGGGATGGGAAGGGAGCGGGGACGAGCCCTCCTCCTTCACCCCACCCGATCCTGGTGGCCGTCATCCTGGTGGCCGTCATCCTGGTGGCCGGGAGACCCAGGGCGGGCTGATGGCGGTCCCACCACAGAGCCGAGGATCCTCCTGTGGCGCTCGGCTGGGCTGTCGCCTGGAGTGGGCACCGCGGGGCCAGAACACAGACCTGTTGGGCACCAGGTGTTCCCCTGGGGTGACYGTGGGGCCCCTCGGAAGCCCATGAGCTCAGAGGCCCGGCAGGTGGCCGCCCGCTGCGGTCACTCGCGGTCACTCTCGGACAGCCTGTGCTCCCCGGCCGCTGAGTCGGCGAAACCCACTGGCCACTGGCCACTGGTTTACAGTCACCCTCCCCCCCGGGGGCAGAAACAGGACCTGAAACTGCCCCGGGCAGCAGGATGGGGGGCGGTGGGGACAGAGGGGGGCTGCCCGCCCGGCCCTGGGAGGGGACCGCAAGGGGAAGCCCTTCCGCCTCTGGGAATGGAACTTCTGCTTTGGAGGGAGAGCGGCGGGCTCCACTCCTGGCCCCACTGCTGCCCGGCCCCGCGGCAACCAGGACACCAGGTCCCCAGGTGAGCACATGCAGCACGGGGGACGGGGCAGCGTGGCCGAGGGCCACAGGGGTCTGACGGTGGGAGGCAGGGCCCAAGGAGGCCTGGGGCTCTCTGGGGTGAGCCGGGAGTCTGTGGCAGCCCTCTTACGTGCTGGTCACCTCRGGCCAGTCTCCTCGCCTCTCTCAGCCCGAGACACCCTCCAGGGAGAACAGAGCCCTTCGGGGTGCAGCCAGCCCTAGAGGTCAGCTCGGGGGCCACCTTGGCTGCAAGCACAGCAGCGGAGCAGAGGCGGGACGAGAACCGGGTCCCCTCTGCCGGCCCAGCACTGACGTCCCAACCCCTGCTTCTCCCAGCTTCCTGCCCCTGGTGGGACTCTCGGCTGGACTCTGCAGGAAATCCCTCGACGGGCCCCTGTGGGCTGAGGGCAGTGGGGGAGGGCTTCCTGGAGGAGGAGGCTCCCCCCAAGGCTGAGGGGTGGGGAGGACGCCGACCTGGGGAAGGTGGACAGGGCAGGTGCTGGGAAATGAGCCGCCGTCACGGAAACKGTGCGTTAGAGCCCCGCACAGAGACGCCTCCGCAGAGATGTAAGAACTCGTGAAGGTTCCTCAAAAAGCTAAGCCCAGTCGTCACCAGGCTGGCCACCCACACCCAGCTCAGCACCCAGAATTGAAAGCTCCCCAGAGCGTGGGAGGCTGAGGCAGGAGGATCGTGAGTTCAGAGCCAGCCTTAGCAACCTAGTGAGGTCCTRTACAACCCAGMGAGACCCTGTCTCTAACAAAATGTCAAAAAGGCTGGGGATGTGGCTCATTGGTGAGCACCCCTGGGTTCAGTCCCCAGTACCCCCCTAAAAAAAAGCAGGTCCTCACATCTTTGTGAGGAACGASGGTGGCAGCATTGTTCATAATAGCCAAGARGTGGCAGCTTCCCKAATATCCATGAGAGAGGAGTGGAGAAGCCGACCTTGGTCCATCCACACGGTGGAATATTATTCTGCCCATAAAAGGGAACCAAGCCCTGATACACGCCACAACACGGACGAACCTCGAATGCAAACAGTCAGACCCRAGAGGCCAGTATCCTGTGATCCCACTTCCAAGAGACACAGAGGGGGGGCAGCTTCAAGGCCGTCAGGGCCATGGGGGGAGCACAGTTTTAGTCTGAAGGAAGATAACAAGTGGAACTAGATGGACAAGGTGGCTGCACACCGCCGTGAATGCAAAAAGGCCACAGCGTGTCCACGTTAGCCGGCTTGTGTGATGTGAACGCTGCCCGGATTCAAAAGAACAGAACAGGGGGGACCCGCTGGACCAGGGCCCCTTCCATCTGTCCCGAGAACTAAGGCCCTGGGTGGGCTGGCTCTGCTGATCTCCGGGACAGTCCCCGGCCTCCTCCCCAGCTCCCTGACTAACAAAGGGCACTCCGCCCTCCCTCCGGCCAGAGGCGCAGCTCCCYGAGGAGCCTGAGGGTGTTTGGCAGCAGGGGTGGCCTGGTAGGGGGCAGGGCTGCTGGCTCTGTCCTTACCGTGTGACCCTGAGAGCTAACTCGACCTCTCTGAACATCAGTGTCCTCTTGGGTACAGAAATTAGTTTCCACCGAGCACCGATGCGCTTGAGGATGCCCAGTGCCCGCCCGTCAACAGCACCTGCTCCTAAAGAAGGAGACCTTCAGCCCCACCCTGCGGGTCCTTCCTGAGCCACCTTCCCTCCTCCTGGTCACTCTCGCCCAGCCCTTTCAGGACCCTCAGGTCTCAGCCTAACAGCACTTTTCCTCTGTGGCAAAGGCCATCCTGGGGCACGACACCTCACAGAGCCAGACACCCACCCTCCCAGTTGCCCCCCTCTCCGTCCCCTCCCTCCCCAGAGCCCCAGTCGCAGACTTGGACTGTCCATATTCAACTGTAGGATGACCCACTGATCCTGCCCCCTCAGGGCACAGGACCCTGGGGGCAGGGGCCACATCCTCCTGTCCATCTTCCATCTCTAAACCCAGGGCTGGGGAAGGAGACAGGACAGCACACCACTGAGCATGTGGGTGGGCGGGCGGGCGGATGAAGGATGGATAGAAGATGGATGGGTGTGTGGGTGGAGGATGGATAGAGGGAGAGATGGAGGATGGGTGGGTGGGTGGACAGATGGGTGGGTGGATGGGTAGAGGATGGATGGGTGGGTGGATGGGAGGATAGATGGTTGGGTGGATGGGAGGATAGATGGTTGGGTAGGTGGATGGATGGGTGGAGGATAGATGAATGGATGGATGGGTGGGTGGATAGAGGATGGATAGGTAGAGGATGGATGAATGGGTAGATGGATGTGTGGATGGATGAATGGATGGAGGATAGATGCAGGGATGGGTGGATGGATGGATGGGTGGGTGAATGAGTAGATGAATGGGTGGATGGATGGGTGGGTAGATGGGTGAATAGATGGGTGAGTGGATGGGTGGATGGGTGAGTGGATGGGTGAATGGTTGGGTGGATGGGTGAATGGATGGGTGGATGGGTGGATGGGTGAATGGTTGGGTGGGTGGGTGAATGGTTGGGTGGATGGGTGAATGGGTGCATGGGTGGGTAGAGGATGGATGGATGAATGGATAAATGGGTAGAGGATGGGTGGAGGAGGGAGGGAGGGAGGGGTGGAGGACGGGTGGGTGGGTGGACAGATGGATAACAGACAGGTGGACACAGGAAGAGGAGGATCCGTGAGTGGGCGACAGGAGTCTCCTGGCTGTAACCCTCCCCCCTTCTCTCTGCAGGGGGCTGAAACAGGGATGACGTTCCCGGGGGGCCGTGCCCTGGTGCTGCTGCCACTGCTGCTCCGCGTCTGCTGGGCCCAGAGCTGCACTGGGCCCCCGGCCATCCCTGGCATTCCTGGCATCCCTGGCATCCCTGGCAATGACGGCCAGCCTGGGACCCTGGGGACAAAGGGCGAGAAAGGTACTGCGGGCTCTGGGGCGCACTGGTGTCACGGGCCAAGGCCCCATCTCCTGCCTCCCAAGTCACCGTCACCTGCCTTAGAAAATGCAAAAGCACAAACCCAGTACCTTTGCCAGGAGGGAATCCTGGGCCCCATTTTACAGACAGGAAAACTCATCTCCAGAGAGGTGCCCCGTGGAGCCCAGGCTCAGCCAGGGCCACGGCTCTTCCSGCCCCGCCCAGGCAGACAGCACCGCTGCCACACAGTCCTGGCTCCCCTTCTCCCCCAGAGCACAGGGCTCCACCTCTGTGCCTTGCTAGTTCCTCACTGTGAAGCAGGGACAGTGACACTTTCCTCGAGTTGTCGAGTTGTCACGGGGCTCCAATGGGATTGCTCCCCTGAAGCCCCTGTGTGCCACGGCTCCTTCCTGCACCTCCCTGGGGCCTGCCGCAGCCTCAGTGCCGGCTCACCCTCCCGCCACCCACGTCACCTCACAGATCCACCAAACAGCCTTGTCCCCATCCTACAGATGGGGAAGCTGAGTTCCAAAGAACGGGACTCGCTGTGTCCCGGTGACACAACCAACACTGGCTCGTGTCACACGAGCAGCACAGCTGTCTGTCTGCGGACCCCACCTTYGCAGGCACCGTCCTCTGCTGCTCTGCTGGAAAATGGCCTTTACTTTGTGTCCCGCAGAGCAAGGGGTGGTGGCTGCCAGAGTGTGGAGTGAGGATCCCAGAGTTCCCGATCGGGGCAGCGTGAGGGCAGCTGTGATGGATTAAGGATGTCTGCCGTGGCTGGKTGGGGGACAGGAGCACATGGGCCAGGAGCTCAGTGGCCCTGCTCTAGGCTGGAGGCTGACAAGGGACCTGGGGGAGCTGGGGCAGAGGCAGGGCCAGCCCTGTCCTCAGGGGGCACCACTCCCCCCGTGATGCCCCCGGTCACGGGGTCCCAGTGCAAGCTCCTTCCCTGGGCGCACTCGTGTCTCTGTCTCTGTTCCTCCAGGGCTTCCCGGGCTGGCAGGGGACCATGGTGAGTTTGGAGAGAAGGGAGACCCGGGGATTCCCGGCTACCCGGGAAAAGTTGGCCCCAAGGGTCCAGTCGGCCCGAAGGGTGCCCCGGGGTCCCCTGGATTGCCGGGTCCCAAAGGTGAGTCAGGAGACTACAAGGCCACCCAGAAGATCGCCTTCTCTGCCCTGAGGACCATCAACAACCCCCTGAGGCGGGACCAGGCCATCCGCTTCGACAGCGTCATCACCAACGTGAACAACAACTACGAACCGCGCAGCGGCAAGTTCACCTGCAGGGTRCCCGGCCTCTACTACTTCACCTACCACGCCAGCTCGCGGGGGAACCTGTGCGTCAACCTCGTCCGGGGCCGGGACAGCCTGAAGAAGGTGGTGACCTTCTGCGACTACGCCCTCAACACCTTCCAGGTCACCACGGGCGGCGTGGTCCTCAAGCTGGAGCAGGGGGAGATGGTCTTCCTGCAGGCCACCGACAAGAACTCGCTGCTGGGCATCGAGGGCGCCAACAGCATCTTCTCCGGGTTCCTGCTCTTCCCTGATCCCGAGGCGTGACCCATGGGCTGAACCCCACCTGCTCAGGGCCACCCCCTCCCCCAGCAACACTCACCTCACCCCCAACACCGCCTCCTACCTGGCCCCCGCTCTCTTACTGAATGAATGAGTAAATAAACTCTTCAGGATCAAGGGACACAGTCTAGATCACTCTGGGTCCTAGCCCCTGCACACAGTAGGTGCTCAGCCAGGCTGGCTGAATGGATGGATGAACAATGGATGGATGGTAGATGGCTGGATGGAGGGATGGGGGGCCCTTGGAAGCAGAAACTTCTACGTAGGGGTGACTGGAAGGCCACTCAGGGATGGGACACTTCCTCCTCATGAGTCCTTGTGCTCCTCCTTGGAGAGAGATGGTGCCACACTCTGTTTAGAGGGCGAGACTGGGGACCAGAGGGCTGAAGGGACGGTCTGCAGCCCAGCAGCAAAGCTAGGCTTCAAGGGCAGCTTTGCCCCTGATGACCCAAGATGTCTTAAGGCCACATGTCCCCGCCAGGCCTCAGGGGACCGTAACCTCCCTTTACCCCACGGAGGGATGCCTGGGTCCTCCTCCAACGTCCTAACTGACCCTGGATTCTCCCTGCATGCCCCCCTCTCRGTAGCTCGCCAGCCGAGCTCACCCTCCTGGGTTAGAACCAGTCACTCCGCGGTTCAAAAACCTTCCGTGGCTCCCCAGTGCCCTCTGGTCCCMGCCCGAGAGCCTGGCCGGCTCCAAAACCTCCCAAACCTCCTCCAGGCCTCGCCTCCTCCCCCAGGGCGGGTCCAGGCCAGCCCTCTCTCCTCCTCTGACCGCTCCCAACTCCACTGGTCACTTATTGGGGCCTGAGTGTGTGAGTGTGCACCGCCGGCATCTGGATTTTCCCTGCTCCCCCCGGTGTCCCAGCTAGGCTGTGAGCTTCTGCTCCCCTGGGGACCCCGCGGAGCCCAGGATCACACAGCGCCACCCCACGGAGACGGACACCCGAGTGACGGAAACTGCAGGAACAGCGGCTGCTCTGGGGGGGGGGGCCTCTCCTACTAGCCCCGCCCCCTCAAGCCGTCTACCAATCCTGACTGGAGGTGGGAGGGATTTAGGGTACTCTAGCACCAGTCCAGCCTTCTGATTGGCTGGCGCATCTTTCAGGACTCCATTCATTGGGTGCAGCTTCTGCCCCCGTCTCCAAAAGCCTGGACTTGGTGGTGACCTTTTTGCGGCTCAATCCTTTCAATACAAACGGTCTGCTTGGACTTTGAGTGGAGAAATAATAATGGCAATAATAACGACCAATAATAACCATGATCGAGTTAACATGTGCCTAGTGCTTTAGATATATTGCCTCATTTAATCCTCAATAAAACCCCTAGAATCTACATATAGTATTCTTCCAATTTTGCAGGGAAGAAAATCGAAGCTCAGAGAGGGCAAGCAGTTTGTCCCCCGGACCACACAGCTGACAGGTGCTTGGCTTCTGTTTGTCAAAAATTTCTTGCTAGGGTCTGGAGTTGTGGCTCAGTCGTAGAGCACTTGCCTGGCAGGTGTGAGGCCCTGGGTTTGATCCTCAGCACCACATGTAAATAAATAAATGAAATGAAATATCCATTTTACAACTAAAAAATATTTAAAAAAAAAGTTCTTGCTAAACCTTTAGACGTACCACCTCCTTGCCATCCACAGCTGCTGGAATTCCTTCTGCTGACCCTTGGGCCCTCCCTGGTGCCTTACCTGAATCCTTTAGGCCTCAGGAGGGTTCYAGCACCTGCCATCAGGTTGATCCACGTGAGGCCACCCCTTACCCCAGGGCTAGCCTGTCTACTGGTACCAAGCACTGCAGGGCACCCATCGCCCTGCCATGCCCCTGAATGACCTCTTGACGCCCCAAGGTAGCCCCTAGTGTGGGAGGGACACAGGGTCTAAGATCCCAGCTCCTGGAAGAGGGGACCTGATTGGCGTCGCCTGGAACAAGTCTGCTCAGGGCCCAACCGGCAGGGACCGGGGGGAGCAGGCCGTGACATTCACGCACTGCAACTGTTCTCTCCCTTGTAGTCACAAGGAGCCTAGGAGGAGAGGGGCCAGCGCAGCGGGTGGGTGGGCACGGGAATTGCTAGAAGTGCTTTTCCCCCCGAGTTCCCATGTGCCGCTGCCGGGGAGACCAGGCTTCAGGAACCACAGCCTCCTGGGGCCGCGCCCGTTGGCAGGTACAGCCGGGGCTCTGGGGGGTGTTCCCAGCCCCACAGGAAACCCGGGGTTCAGCTCCAGACCTCAGGGCCTCTGTTGAGGTGTGGTGGGCACTATCACCCAGCCCACTCAGGCCTGTGGGTGCAGGTGGCTCTCAGAAGAGTGTGGGCAGACCTGCTTGAACACCTGCCACCTCTGGACTTGAGTGCCAAATCCTGGTGTCTCCACCGTCACCCCCGGTTGCTCCTGACAACATTCCCTCCAGTGACCCACACGCTTTGAGCCAGGTAAGAGAAGGGACAGGGCAGGGCGACGTTAAGGAATCAGGGGCTTAATGAGTCCCATGCTGATCAGCTCACCAGCAGGGCTCCAGAGCGCTTGGTGCTCATCCCCAGAACCCTCACAGTCACCGTCCCTTCTACAGATGGGAACACTGAGGTCCAGAGCAGTTAAGTGAATCGATCCAYATCACACAGCCCGTAAGGAATAGAGCCTGGATGGAAGCCAGGCAGTTTGATGCTTCTTTGGGGCCCTTGGGAATGTTGGCTCTCTAGTGGGACAGAGCTGGTTCAGATCCTGCCTAGACTTCTTGCAGCTGTGTGGCCACAGCCAGAGACTGTCCCTGGTCTGCTTCATCTCCTTAGGAAYGAACGAGGCGGTGATACCCACCCTTGATTCCTTCCTTGGATTGAAGTCCTAGGAGCAAGCTGGGCGCCTACRATCCCAGCAATTTAGGAGGCTGAGGCAGGAGAATTGCAAGTTCAAGGCCAGCCTCAGCAATTTAGTGAGCAACTCAGTGAGCCCCTGTCTCTAAATAAAACATAAAACAGGCCGGGGGTGTGGCTCAGTGGTTAGGCACCCCTGGGTTCAATCCCTGGTACCAAAAATAAATTAATAAAATGATAATTTAAAAATTCCTAAGAGTGGATGCCGGGGATGAAAGAATTGCAAACGCCAAAGTCTTTGACATGTTTTCCTCGCGGAGCCGCGGGCCACAAGGCTGATGTGAGCTCAGCTTCGGGCTTGCTGCCACCAGRGGGGAGTAGGCACCAGGACAAGGACCGCAGGGAAGAGGGTGGGTTTGGACGGTGACTCCTCCCTCCCTCCCAGCCCCTCCCACTCTGTGGGTGGGCTACGAACTTCCGGGGTGGGGCTGAGGGTCCGCTTGGAAGACCCTTGAACCGTGTCCTTCACATGCGGACTCTGTCCGGCGGCCGGGCTGGCTGCAGCGATCTGCGGGCACAGCAGCCGGTTGAACCTGCGCCCGAGGATTTCAGCTTGTGCGTGGCTCCTCCAGGGCTGGCCCGCAGCCAGGAGGGTCACCCCATATAGCCAAAGCCACCACCACAATAACGGACCACGACTCTAGACCAAGATCGCCAAACTTTGTAAAGAACCAAAGAGGAAATGTGAGGGGCTTTGCACGCCACAGAATCTCAGTTGCAACTACTCAACCCTCTTTTTATASCATGAAAAGAGCAAGAAGCAATACACAGCCCCTCCCCGACCCCATATCCACAGGTTCTGCACCCCTGGATTCAAACAGCTGGGGATGGGAAATGTATTTTAAAATGCATCTGCACAGAACATGTGTGACTTCTTTCCATGTACCACCCCCTAAAGAAGACAGTCTAACAATCATGCACATAGCATTTCCACTCCATCTAGTGATGTTTCACAGAATACAGAAGGAGCCAGATGCCATGGCACCKGCCCAGAATCCCAGCAGCTCAGGAGGAGGCTGAGGCAAGAGGATCACAAGTGTGAGGCCAGCCTCAGCAGCTTGGTGTGGCCCTGAGCAACTTAGCAAGACCCTGTCTCAAAATTAAAAAATAAAAAAGGCTGGGGATGTGGCTCACCCCTGGGTTCCATCCCCAGTACCAAAAAAAAAAAAAAAAAAAAAAGTCTTTGGGTAGGTTTTATGCAAAATACTACACCATTTTAGATAAGGACTTGAGAGGCTGTGGGCTTTGGTATGGGGGAGGGTTGTCCTGGATATAGTCCCTTGGGTACTGAGAGGCGASTAGATCAATACATGAGCATGAAAAAACTAAAAATAAAACACAAATGARCAAAGCTGTGTTCCAATACATCTCATGGACACTGACATTTTAATTTTACATAATTTTCATGAGCCATAAAGTGGTTTCCTCTTGAATTTCTTTTCACCCATTTAAGGACKTGAGCGCGCTCTTAGCAGGCAGTGGATGGGGTCCGGCCCCAGGTCTGTCCTGCTGTCGACCCAGGACTGGTCCCAAGCCTGGAGCAGAGGAGCCCAGAGCGGCCCGACTCCCAGGCCAGAGCTCCTTCCACTGGGCCGGGCTGCCACACTCCAGCCCTGGGACGTGGCCAGGAAGGGTGGCCAGGCCTCAGTGCGTTGGGCTGTGGCATTGCAATCCCTGCCCTGCGCGATCTGAGACCCTGGGTGTCCACTTTTAGCAGGAAACAAAATCTCCCAGGCACTTGCTGGTGCCAGAGCCACACCCCAGAGGGTCGGATTCCACACACCTGACCTGGGGATCTGCACTTATCTCTGTCACCCCCCCCCCCGACCCCGTGACTCCAATGTGGGTGTCCCTCCACACCCTCCAGACTGCWGAGCTTGAATCCCAGGAAGAGGGTAGACCCAGCCTCTGTCCTTCGGGAGTCCAGGGGCCAGGAAAGGGAGACAGACTTCTTGTCCGTTGACACCCACACAAGATGAGAAGTGCGAAAGGGAGGAGAGTCCAGGGGTGAAGAAACCAGAAGCACCACGGGGTCCGAGAGACTGGGCTCAAATCCCTCCACTGCCCCCTATAAGCTGTGTACTCTCAGGCTAATCACTTAACCTCTCTGGGCTATAGTTTCCTTTTCTGCCTTACAAGAGTGAAAATCATACCCACCCCAGAAAGCTGATGAGGGTCAAATGGGATTCCTTGTGCCAAGCCCCRCTCCACAAGCACCTTCGTGGCTGTGGTGGTGGGTGGTCCTTGGAATTGGGGTCCCACCG